GTGGTTGGGATAGATATATAGTTGCATTCTCTTAATGAATAGAATGATTTGTTCTAATGGTGTTTGTAAATAGGATCTCAAGTCCTCATCTTGTACAGCAATTAACCACTAAGAAGAATATATGCAGTGTATTATTTGTTGAATGTGTACTTCCGATTTGATTTGAAAAAAAAAAAGAATTAGTTTTATACAATGCAATTATATTTTCCTGAAGGCAAAATCCTAAATGAAATCTTTATATTGGCATTTTTGAATAAAGGAAAGTTCATTTTAAAAGAAAAAAAATAAATCTTGGAAGCAACCAAATGTCCATCAACTGAAAATAGATAAAAGAGATGTGATATTTTTACATAATGGAGTATTACTCAGCTATAAAAAATGTGAGGCTTTTATAGGTAAATGGATACAACTAGAGATTGTATTGGTAAGTGAAATAAATTATACCTGCATGTGCAAATATCATATTGTTTCACTAGTGTGAGAACCTAAAAACATAAATAAGAATTGAAAGGTATGATAGATACTGTGAGGGGGAAGGAATCTATAATAGATAATGTGAGTGGGAAAATATTCAATGGGAAGTAAAGACTTGGATGAGGAAAAGGACAAGGCAAAAAAGGGAAAAAGATATTTATGTATAGATGCAGGATAGTTTGGATAATTGCTGATTTCTGTTGATTCTACTCAATTTCTTTCTTTTTTCATTTTTTAGGTATTTAGTACAGGGTCTGCAGGGTCTCACTATGTAGACTGGATTCATAATGATTCTCCTGTTTTCAGCCTCCAAAGTGCTGGGATTACAGGCGCACAACACCATGCCGTCTCAATCGCTGTCTCAGCATGCCCTGGGGCGGGGCTTGCACGGCTCCTGGAGCCAACTTTTTAATTTCTTAATTATTAAGGTTCTTTTATTAGGTACAGGGTCTCATTATGCAGCTCGGACTTGTAGTGATCCTCCTGTCTCAGCCTCCCCAGTCCTGGGATTACAGGAATGCATGTCATAACACGCCCAGTTCATTGGCCGGCATGCTGGCCAGCATGGCATGCAGTACTGGGGATCAAACCTGGATCCTTGTACTCACCAGATGGGTGCTGACACCACTGAGCTATCTCCCCAGCCCTCCTTTTCATTTCTTATAACTTCCCCCCCAGTTTTTCAGATTTATATCTGGTAACTTGCACAACTAATTTGAAGATAACATTATGCAATAGAGCAACCATTGTTAATTCCTATTACTTTATTGTATTGTTTCTATTTTTTTTTTACCATTTTGTATTCTTTAAAAAAATTTTAAAAAGCTAATGTACAGCAAAAGAATCAACAGAATGAAGAGACAACTTACAGAATGGTACATGATATTTACAAACCACAGATCCAAGAAGGGGCTAGTATCCAAAATACATAAAGAGCTCAACTTGGTAGCAAAAACAAAACAAAACCAAAACCAAAACAACAACAAAAAACCCAAACACCAAAAACCCTATTAAATGTAAATTTTAATTCTTCTGGGAAGATACCCAGAAAGGAATAGTTAGGTCAAATGGGACCTCTAATCCTATTTTTGAGGATTCTCCACACTGTTTCCACAGTGGTTGCACCAGTCTGTACTCCCACTAACAGTAGAGAAGCTCTCCCTTTACCCCACAGCCCCATAGGCATTTATTATTAGTTGATTTCCCTATTAAAATCCTATTAAAACTGGCAAAGCTCTTGAATAGGCATCTTTAAGAATAAGACATATAACAAGCCAACCAATTTAGGAAAAATGTTTAACATGATTAGCCATCAAGGAAAAGCAAAATCTCAGTGAGAATCACACCACACTTGACAGGATGGCTAAAAGGAGCCCAGCCATAGTAGTGATGCTGGCTGGCTATGGCACAAAGGTGACTTATACTTGTTGGTGGGTGTGGGACTAGTACAGATATCCTGGGAAGCAGATGGGGGCTCCTGCAGAAATCAAGCAACCCTGCTTCCAGGTGTATAGTCAAGAGTATTCAGAACAGTATTTTGAAGAGATTAATGGACCCCATGTCCATTTGCATTATTTATAATAGCACAAATGTGGAATCAGGTAGGTGTCCATGACCAGGGTAATAGATGAAGGAATGTGGTATGGATGTACAGTAGAATACTAATCAGCCATTGAAAGGATAAAGTCTTGTCACATGCAATAACACAGATGAATCTAGAGGACATTATGTTAAGTGGCATAAATCAGGTATAGACAGACAGATACTGAATTTGGAATCTAAAAGTCAAACTCACAGAAGCACAGAGTAGAATGGCTTTTGCCAGGGGCTGAAGGTAAGGTGGGAGGAAATGGGGAGATATTTGTCCAAGGGTCCAGTTAGGAGGGGGGAATATGGCTTCAAGATCTTTGTACAGCATGTTATCTATAGCTAATAATGTACATTTCAAAATTGTTAAAAGAATACATCTTTTTTTTTTTTTTTTCGGAACTGGGGATTGAACTCAGACCCTTGCGCTTTCCAGGGAAGCACTTATTCTACTGAGCCATCTCCCTGGCCCAAAAGAATACATCTTAAATGTTCTTACTACAAAAATGTAAGAGCATGAGGTGGTGGATATGTTAATTAGCTGATATAAACATTGCATAATACATACATTCATCAAAATATCACATGCCAGTCATTAGTTCTCAATTAAACATCAACATTTAAACTTTAGGGGACCAGTGAGATAGCTGAGCAGACTAAGCACCTGCTTAGGCAAGCACTGGGCTTCAATTCCCAGCACCACATGCTGTGCCAGTCCCACCCTAGGCATACTAAGCCGGTTACCAAGTCCAGTCATGGTAGTGCACGCCTGTAATCCCAGTGCTGGGGAGGCTAAGAACAGGAGGATCACTGTGAGTCTGAGCTGCATAGTGAGATCCTGTACCAAATGCATTAAAAATAATTAAATAAAGGAGAGATTAGGAAAAATCAATCTTTTGAATAATTTTTCATTTTCATATAATATATTTACATTCCAAAAACATAATAAAGCAAATGTTTTTAATAGATGAATAAAATTTAGAGTTTAATATATACAACCTTGACTTTTTAATTTCATTATGTAATAGGACATCTCCTAAAATGGATCCATATTTTATATCAAATGCTCCTGGGCCTTCTAACTTTTCAAGCATGTGGTTAATGGTCGCAGTTTTCCCAACACCAGACTCTCCTAAAGGGGAAACATGCATTAGAAAATGGCATGTGTTAACATATTAAAACAAGTCAGCAAGATTTTCCTTCTTTAGAAATTTCCATAAAAAGTATGCTTCTGCTGTTATCCTTTTTTAATATGAAAGAGGCTAAGTCACAGAGCTAAGTTAATATGAACTCCTCTCCAGCTGTTTGAATTATTTGCATCTCTTACAAAAGAGGAGACTAGGAGCTAACTATTATTTTTATTTAATACTGTTACAAATATTTTTACTTATCACACACCAGAAATATTACATGAAATTCCTTAAAAATTTTGGCTACCACTATCTGAAGGAAAAAAATTCATGATAAATGTCTTACTGCATCAGAACAGGGACTCATAACTTTATAACTCATTGGATAGTAGAACAAAAATAAGAATTTTAATATAACAAATTAAAAGTAAGATACAGACTATTTGAGTCATAGTATTGGAAGTTTTTAAATATAGAAGTGGGAAAATGATACTATTGCCTCTGCTGAGAGGCAGCACAGTTGGAGATGGGAAAAGGTAATGACAGTTCAAAAGAAGAAGGCAGGAAGGGTAGGAGCTGTACTGAATCCTTGGTAATGGTAGGATCAAGACACATTCTAATGTGGAGCTGAGGAGTCTCATGTGTCAATTTGGCTAAACCAGCACTGCCTTCAGGGCCTTCTCAAGACCTGGGCCACAGGCCACAGCAGCCAGCCATGTTTATTTCATAGTTCTATTTGCAGGTTGTCCTGACAGTAAGGAAAAGACAGATAAACACGATCTATGATGTCATACACTGGAAAACGTGGGTAAGTGGGCATTCTTAGACTGTTGGTAAGAGCACAAATTGATGCAGTAGTCACCAAAACTTTTAGGGTCTATTTTTCTCCTCTTAATAATGATTAGGCTGAATAATCTCCAAACCTCTTCTGACTCTGACACTCCCTTCCATGAACAACATCTCTCATACCTGTGAGAAGTACAGGGCAGGAATTCTTTAAAAGGAGGCTTGTGAGGAAAGACAGGCACACGGCGTCTCTGGTGGCTGTGTAATGAATGTGCTCGCCGCACTCTGTAAGCCTCAGCATGTTCTCCCGAGCCCCTTGAAGGTCTGCCAGCAATGAAGCACCTACATTAAAAATAGTTTATGAAAATTTCCAAGGATCTAGGAAAAAATATTGCCCCAATCTTCCAGCTACATGAGACCTTCTACAAGTGTGTGCACGTTACAGAGCAATTCAATGCCAAGGGATTGCTCCATGTGCCTGTGGCTCTGCTGCTCTCAGAAACCGTCCTTCATGTATTTATTTGCTGCTTGTATTTCTTCATCTGAGAAGTGTGCATTCATCTCATATGTCCATCTTTGGATTGGGTCTTTAAATTTCAGGGGTCTGATTTTCCCAATTCTTTGTATGTGCTAGATGTAAGTCCTTTGTTTGAATTAGGATGAAGTGCCAATTATTGATTCTTTGTATTATTTCCTATGTGATTGGGGCTTTGTTCATTAAATCTTTGCCTATGCCTGTGCCTTCAAGAGTTCCATCTATTCTTTCTTCCAGCAGGTTTAGTGTTTGTTTTAATATGTAGGTCTTTGACAACTTCAATTTTAATTTAGTGCACGGTGATAGACATGGTCCAGTTTTAGTCTGGCATATGTGGAAATCTAGTTTTTCCAGTATCGTTTATCTAAGAGGCTATGTTCCAGTGAACATGTTTAGCTTTTTCACTGGTTATTAGAAAGATGCAGATGAAAACAATGCTGAGATTCCATCTCACTCCAGAAAGAATGGCTATCATCAGAAAATCAACCAATAATAAATGCACATAGGGCTGTGGGGTAAAGGGATTGCTTCTCTACTGTTAGTGGGAGTATAGACTGGTGCAACCACTGTGGAAACAGTGTAGAAAGTCCTCAAAAGTAGGATTAGAGATCCCATTTGACCTAACTATTCTTCTCTGGGTATCTTCCCAGAAGAATTAAAAACATCATACCACAGTGATATAGCAGCACAGTTTGTAATAGCTAACAAAGTATTGGAAGCAACCTAAATGCCCATCAACATAAGAATGGATAAAGAAGGTGTGATTTCAAAAAATATATATAATGGAGTACTAATCAGCCACAAAGGATAAATTTGAGACCTTTCTAGGTAAATGGATACACCTTAGATCATACACTTAAGTGAACTAAATTGGATTCACGTGTGTAAACATAACATTGTCTCCCTTGTGTGAGAAATTGAAAGAGTAAATGAAGACCAAAGTGTACAACAGATATTCTGACATGGGCAGCAACTGTTCAGAAGGAAAGAAGAACTGGGTGAGAGGTGGAGGAGGAAGGAAGGGAAAATGAAAACAATCATTTAAAAAAGGTTAAAATGGAAACAAAGCTTGCTAAATAGGGAGGGGGATGGGGCAGAAGGGAGAAAAGGGTGTTGGGGAAAAAAGAGGAATCAAAATATATCATGTACAGGTACACATTCCCTATGATGAATATGAACATTATGAATACTTAAAGTGTACCAATAAAGTCAATTAAAAAAAAAAGAAACCTCCTCCATTCTCTCAGCTGGCTAGATTACTGTACATGTTCCCAAGATGATGAGTCTGAGGCATTCTTATGTAAATGGAAACAACTTTATATATCTATATCTATATCTATATCTATATCTATATCTATATCTATATCTATCTATATATATATATATATCTTACATGCCTTTTTTACATGCTTTTTTGTGTGATTCTTTTTGGTGTATACCTTGTACTGAGTAATTAACACAGATTACAATAACTTGTTATTCTATTATTATTTAGTTATGATTTTTTCATAAAATAAAAAGAAATTGTCTTCATTAAATTTCTTAAACGGGTGTTCCTGTTTATGCTGGGGTTGCCTCCAAATAAGCCCATGGTGAACAGAAGCTGTTGTAAGTCAGCATCTTTAGCACTCCTAACCCGCTGAGCATCACCGCTGCTGACTGTGCTGCAGCTCAGGGTCACCCACCGCTGTGCTTGCTGCCTACACCGGAACTGTAAGAGGACCTCACCGCAGATGACTGGTGGGAAGAGATGGTGTCTCAAAATTCTGAGCACAGTTTACACTGTGTGTGCCTGACTTTTGCACCATCATAGCGTTAAAAAATTGTAGGGTCAGGACCAGCTGTGATTGTAAGGACCCTACAAGAAGTCTGATCATTAAGTTTCTGCCCTAAACTTCTACCAAAATCTCTGAGTGCAACAAAGTTCAAGGCTGAGAATAACAACACTTTGGCATGTGCAGGTATCTGTCAAACCATGATTTTTTTCTAATTTGTAGTTTCTTTATAGTCAAGGGTAAGTTCTTACATGGAAGATTTTCCTTGTTTAAAAGTTGACCTTGCTATTTTCTACTTTCCATAGCCACAGATAATTAAAATAATAAATACTGCCAGTAGTATGGTGTGTAATAAGCTCTAGTTTTACAGTATATGCTGGACTCAAGTGACCCTCCAACTTTTTCATGAAGTATTACACAAAGGTTGGTTTTTGGCACATCTTTTTCATAGTATTTTTTTTCTGTATTTTAAAGAGAGAAAAATACAATGAAAACAGTATAGAATTTCAAAACAAGATGACAGGAAATTAACAGCTATTATGTCGCATATTGTCATTTGCAAAGTAGTTGCTCAAATTACCAGATACAGACATGCAAAACTGACCAAACAATAGAAACACAGACTATTCTTCCCAATGACATAACAGAATTAGTAGTACAATTATCTTGGCTGGCTTGTGCACTTATGCACATCGTTTTTATCTTTCTTTTCTCCTTTCCCGTCTCAGTTGTTCTTTTCCTTTGAGCAGCTTCTTTCCCTTCTACTATATCTGTTGTACCTTTTGGCTCTTACTTAACCTTTCAGTTATGTAGATGTAAACCGACCCCCACATAAACTTGAGACAGATCTAGTATTGACGCTCCTGACAACTTTATTTATTTGACAACTACTTTCATAAGTGGAGTACCATCAGCACTTTAGAGAAGTTACAAGTGTGAATATCATAATTATTTTACCTTTTTGATTTAGTGTTGCAACATTAGGAACTATTTCTGACCACCGCACGAATTCACATTGTTGTAGATCCAGAAAATACCCAAAGATAGATTGGTCACCAGTTGGTATATTGATGGCTAAATGGGGAATGATAAATAAATCCAAGAAAAGAATTCATATCTGAAAAGGTAAGTTTGTAGAGCTGGAAGGACCTATCAAACTTTGTAAAATAAACTTATCTTTTCCCCTTTTATTAATTTTTATTCTTTTAGTAATCCAGAAAACAAGGTTAAGTATAGTCTGATATCTTTCAAAATATTACCTTTTGCTTATTGCCATATGTTTGGACACTATCAAATGCCAGCAAGATACTGATTTCGGTCAAACCAATACATTAGCGAATTTTGACACTTATTTGTAAATAACTCTTAGTTTTCCATTTTAAAAATGATATATTTTATTGGTGGAAAATCCTTGAAGGGGCTGGGGAGATAGCTCAGTAGACTAAGTGCTTGCCTGGCAAGCGCAAGTTCCTGAGTTCAATCCCCAATACCCCCCCAAAATAATCACTCATTTAGGGGGGTCAGGGAGATAGCTTAGTGGAATAAGTGCTTGCTTGGCAAGCATAAGGTCCTAAGTTTGATCCCTGGTACCACCAAAAAAAAAATCCTTGAAAATATAGAATAAAAAGAAAAAATAATTTAGTCATAATTTCATGATAGGGAGATAATAATATTAATATTTAAAAAGGATAAATGTATAATAATATTAACAATATATTTTATAATTTTTGCCAGTTTGAATCTCTTAATTTTTTGATGAGCTATAATAAAAATATCTTAGTATGACTTTAGAATTGTTAATTTTCTCTTGGAATTCTATCAAAATCTACTATTAAAGGACTAAGTTGTTTCATTCACACAAGTTCATGATTGTTTTACCTTTTGTGGCTAATTTTTTTAAATGTAGTATTCTTTATCTCTCTTTAATCTTTTGTCAGAAATTGTATTTTATAACATATTGTTACTCTACCTTCTTTATAAAGTGTGACTGTATTTTCATTTTCTATGCACTTCAAATTAATATACTGATGTATACATTACATTAACAAATCAGAAAGTTATGTGGTATATTTGACCTATTTTCAAAGAGAACAAAGACCTTACCACACTGTGTGAACCATACACCCCTCCCCTGCTATCTTGTTGTTTTGTGTGTCATTGTATATTTTTAATACAAAGGCACTATTTAGTTATGACTAATAGCTGTGCTAATCCGTTGCGCTGTTCTACCAAGACCTGTGCTCACCATTACCATGTACTAGGCACCTCCCTTCCCACTGGGCATATTAGTCTTGTTATGTCTACCTTTTATATAAGAGCTTAGGTGTTTGACAATTTCAGTCCTTGTATGTCGTATGAATTTTTATTTTGATATCATTCTTAAATTATAGTTACTGATCATAATAATATAGGCTTCCTCAGCAATAGGAAGATATTCAATTGTCTCGTGACCTGTGTTGTTACTAACAAAAATTTCTCTGTCTCTCCAATTGTCCTTCCTCTGTTGATATTATCTTTTCTCTGATGGGTTTATAGATTTTTTCTTCACATTTTTATAGCTTCACTATGGAATGCCTACATGTTTAATCTAAGAATACATGTGATTCTGGAAAATTCTCTGCTGATCCCTCTCTGGACTGTCTCAGCCCCAGTGCTCACCATTGTTTTCTGTAGCTTTTCCTCTAAGTATCAATTTACTAATTCTTTTTATTTGGCAGAAGTGGGGATTGTACTCAGGCCCTTGTGCCTGCCAGGGAAGTGCTTATTCCACTGAGCCATCTCCCTGGCCCCACTAATTCTTTCTTTGGTAGTTCTGAGTGGAATTTCTTCTGACTGCTTAATTTCTCATTTGCATTACTGTATTTTGCTTTTCTGAAATGTCTACTTAGGTATTTGCTTATAGCTCTATGTCCTTTTCTCTACTTGCTTTTGCTTCAGAACTACTCATCTTAAAATAGATGTCATTCCTTCATGCATATTTTTAGAAAAGTCTGAACACTTAGAGTATATATGTTAGGTCACAATAATTTGGTATTAGGATGGGTCTATGGTTTGAATAGGGCTTGTATCCTCCTCCACTCTTGTTGCAATTTAGTTCCATAATTGGCGGCATGTGACTCTGGACCTGTGAGAGATGGTTAGAACTGGAGAAGGTCTCCAGAGTGAATCTTGGGGTCTTCCGTAGGAAGTCAGAGACCAGGGGACACAGACATGCACATTGCTCTGTGCCATTTGGGACTCTGCAAGTGAGAAGATCCTCATCAGATTCAACTCCTTGATCTTGAGCTTCCAGAACTAAAAGCCAAACTTCTTTGCTTTACCATCCGCCCAGTGTGTGTACTAAACAGCATCAGACAATTGACTAAAATGGGTGATTTTTGTTGATACTCTTTGAATATTAATTTTCCTTTTGTGTTTATAGTTTGTGTTTGCAAACTGATTATGAGTGGGAGGTTCTCAGCTCTCCTCTCTCTTATGCTGTTGTTATTTCTAGCCTAGTAGTTTCACAGCTTACTGAAGCTTCTGCCTGCCTTTTTTTCCTGCAGGAAATTCTTACTCAGGATTTCTATATTGGAATCTCAAATGACAAAGCAAAATTTGATATAGTTTTAAGATAAATCATTTAACATAAAGTAGAATTCATTAACTTGCATTTATTTATTTATTTAGTAGTACTAGGGATTGAACTTAGGACCCTGTGCTTGCCAGGCAGGTGCTTATTCTATTGAGCTATCTCCCCAGCCATAACTTGCTTTTAGATTCATGGGGAGAATAAATATAGCTCAAGGAGTTTTTGCCTGACAAATCCCAACTTTAAGAAGCAGTGAAGGTGCTGGTGTTCTTAACTCCCTTTTTGTCTTTAACCTTCATACTTTCTAAGGCGGCCTACTCAATATAAACCAAGTCACACCTTCTGATTAATGCTTTATAATAAGCATGATAGTGAGGTTTCCCAAAAACTTACCTACTTCTGAATTGTTTTCAAATAAGTTATGAACAAAGTTGTCAAAAGTATAGGTTACATCTGCAAGACAATCAGGCTCAAAAGCTGAACAAAACACGATGTCATCTTCATGTTGATCTTCACGTTTTAAAATTCCCCCAAATGCCCAAGTAAATGCAAACACATAGAGCTTCTGCAACACCAGCACTAATTTATCAGGATTTTTCTCCAGATACCATGTGTTTTTATCCCTAAGGTAGAGATAGGTGGAAGGATGAAGGTTAAATGTTTTAGAAAACAGAAATGTATCTGAATATCATGTCAACATTTCATGATTAAAAACCATAATATAGTTCAGTACTGAGAGCAAAGCTTCATAATATATATATATATATAATTTCCCCTTTGATGAGTAATTTAAATTACACAGTTACTATTTTTTAAAGTATCATAGGCATAAGAAATTCATATTTGGTGTGGAATGTAGACACTTCTGTTTTCTCAAAGCCTCAAGGAGACAGCTAAAAGAGAAAACAAGGAGAAAGGGAAAAGTGGAAGCCTTTGCATGAGCTACGCCTGGGACAGTGCTCGGTATCAGGCTTTTGCTGGAGCACAGAGAAATCTTGGAGGAAGGCTCTTCCTGCTCGTGAGGAAGAGGAAGGAGGAAGAAGGACCAGCACAGAGGTTTCCATCAAGGACCCCTCTCCATGCACATTGCAGTAGTAGAAAGGCAGCCACACCTGTGTTTGAAGAACTTAATTGGTCTTATCTTGTATGCAGGAATCAGGCAACATTTTACTCCATTAAATAGTTAAGTGTCAAAAAAAAAAAGAAATTCATAGTCAACTTTTATTTAATATATGCCTCTAATATATTTTAATTTATTACATGAAATATATACTTTATACTTTCATTTAATATATACACATATATCTTTATACCTTTACTTAAGATTTGTTTAACATTTTATTTGATTATAGCAATAACTAATTTATGTACATTACATGTGTTTCATTTTTTATTTTAGACCAGTTTATTAGCTGAGAGTTACTTTCCTTTGGGAGACACTCTGGTAAACCCACCATATGTGCAGGCTGAAGTGAAGTTATTCACTCTGTGCTCTCTTGGACAGGTTCCAGAGGCTCACCTGGTCCAGCCGGACCTGGCTCAGCCTGCCTGAAGCCGGGGAAGCTCTGGGATGCTCTTCCAGCGCCTGTCAACCCAGATCACTCCTACGTGGTGCAACTCAAGTTCCACAGTGACGGGGCTGCTGCTTGTGGGGCTGAAAAGGGTTTGGGCCTGCGTTCAAGACACCTACATAACTCAGGATTTATTACCATTGAGTTATCACTGAACTGAAGTTTATCAGAAGCTTTCACACATGATACATCCACACACTTTTATCTGAAATTTCTAGTTTATGCTAAGGGAAGAGCAAATTCATGTCAGTTTTATTCCTTTCTCAATTATGCATAAGAAGCTGGACAAATGTATTTATGCAATGTCCACTGCCTTAAAACAGCGTAACAATCTGTCACCCTTGCATTAGTTATACAAAGACTCTATATTGGAATAAAATACAGGAAATACCCATACACTGTTGTTAGGGTTAGGGTTAGGATTACTGACAAGAAATCCTGTGTGTATTTTGGGGTTTGGTGCCTAGTAAGTACCAAAATATGTTGTTTACAGGAACAACACTGACCTGTTCTCTGTGGCCTTCACTTTAACAGAACCTTTCGCAGAATTTGCCTTCTTACTTGAAGTGTTACTTGAGTCACTGTCTTAAAAAGGAACAAGTATTTTTGCATGGTTAGCAACAGCCCTAAGAGTTGGGTGGTACCTAACAAGCCTCAGCTACAGCCCCATCTGGTGAAGCATCACAAGAGAATGTCTGCCTCACACAGGCAGGGCGCAGTCCCCTCCTTGGTGCCTGCCCTGCTCCCGTTCTGCTCAAGCTACCCGTTGTTGACCAGAGCACAGTAAGTGTTTATTGTTTTCTTAGCATATTTTCTTCGATATTTGTTTTCTTAATACTAAAATACACTTCTTATAGAAGAGTTAGAAAATACAAAAAATACAGAAGAAAAAAAGATCACTCAATTCCACCACCCATAGAAAATAACCATTTAAATGCTAATGCATTTCTTTATGGTCTGTTTATTACAGACTTATCCATTATATAAGTACATATTTTAAGATTTAAATAAAAAATTAAAGAGGCTTATGTTTTTGCCTGGATTTTTTATTTTAGCCTTCTCATGTCATTATAAGTCTTGGAAACATGATGTTGTTGTACCATCCTTTATTAACACTCTCCCACTATTAGAATGCACATTGCTGTTTTGGGGGTTATAACTCTGATATATAAGAACCTGCTTGCACATATGCCTCTAAGTGTTTCTTTGTAACAAATTTTTAAAACAAGAGGTACTAAAATATTTTAAAAAAGAATTCCTAAGGCAGAATATATTGACATTCTTGGCATATATAGCCAAATATCTCACTAGGAAAGGGAGTATATAGGGGCTGGGGAGATGGCTCAGTAGAATAAGCGCTTCCCTGGCAAGCGCCAGGGCCTGCGTTCAATTCCCAGTTCCAAAAAAAAAAAAAGAAAGAAAGAAAAAGAAAAAAGAAAAAGAAAGAAAGAAAGAAAGAAAGAAAGGGAATATCCATGCATCTTAAATTTCATTCTGTGAATGTTTATGACATAGCAATTCTATCCATCAATGTGTATTATATCAAAATATTCTTTTCTTATTAAATAGAAATTTTATATTACTTTCCAAAAAATTTTCTGGTCATTTGTCATATTAAACATTTCTTAAAAATATATTGGAAATGTTAGTGTGTGTACAAAAGTTACATACATAACTTCTTTATCTGTCCCCTCATAATGTATCCCCAGCCAATTTATTGCAAATTCTCAGAACAACTCATTGTGGGACACAGATATGGGATACCAGGAGTGGTCCTGGATATCTGGGGATTACAGAAAGTCCTGAAAAATTCAGAAGAGTAACAATTTTTACTATGATAAAAATATAGAACTTATCATTTTAATAGTTTTAAGTGTAAAGTGTGGCTGCTTTAATGAAAAATTATAAAAAAGTTTAGTAGAACAAGGTAATTTAACAGATATAAAGGATGTAAATCTATATATAACTATTAACTGTATTTCTATACACTGACAATGAGTGACTAGAAATTGAATTTATGAAAATCATTATAATAAGCAGACTGGTAACAATCTAGACTTCTGCAGCCCCTCTTCGAAGACTCCTAGGGAGCTCATGAAGCTGGAGGGTAAAAGAGCTCAGTGAGATGAGCAGGGTGACTAAGAGTAACAGAAAATTAAGCAAGTACCCCTGCACTAAAAGTGGAGGCATCAGAGCAAATACTGCTCCTTTTTAAAGAAATGTATTTTAGTACAGGGTCTACATGGTCTCACTACACAGGTCAGACTTATAGTGATCCTCCTGTTTTCAGCCTGCCAGATGCTGGGATTACAGGTGTGCACCACCATGCCCAGTCTCATTGCTCCATATTTTAACTGCAGGCTTCTCTCAACTCTCTGCCAAAAAGGTTCGATGATGGCTCTCTCCCCCATGGCTGACCATAGGGAAACCACAGCTGAACAAGGTTCACTGACAGTGAAGGAGATTATGGGGTCCTGAGATGATCATGACCCAGAGCAGCTCTCAAGCTCCAGAAATCTGCAGGATGCAGCCATAAGAAGAGGGAAGAACTGGTGCTTAGAGTTCTCAAAATGGTTAATGGAATACAGCATCCTCAGACTAAAATGTGTGGGGAGGCAACAAGGTTCCATAGCTTGGATCACAAGGAAAAATCATGATAAGTGAACTAGAAGTTAAGGGAAGTTGATCCAGTGAATGTCAAGTTCCTCATTTCCAGGCCTAAGTTTCAGGACCAGAGCCCACCTAAGAAGGTGTGACCCTCTGCAGTACCATGGGAAGTTTCTACCCTGATCTTCCTCCGGGAAGAACTGCGGCCATTTACTTGGGCGATGCACTCTGGGAAAGAGGAATATTCAGTCTTAGAATTGTTGGATACAGGGCATCTTCATGCCCTTCAGCACGAGCGTGGGGGCATATGATATAGAGACAAAGGAATATAGAATTCTGAGCAAACTTCAGCTCAACAGAGCCCCCTGGTACTTCTCCTGCTAGCTACTCTCCTGATCCCCAAATACCTAACGGGATCCAACATACTTAGTAATTAAGCCACATTGGGCCCTTAGTCTGTGGGATAAGCGCTATCACCACGAGAAAGGCCAGATGGAAGTCTCTGAAATTGCCTTCCTTGCCTGCTAAGACAGTAGCTAAATCAGAGCATCACACTGCAAGGGAGAGGAAGTGGTAGTTCCTGTCACCTGTTTCTTCATGTAGTTTGTCTGTCTCTATCTCTATGATGTGTATGTATCTATATACATAATCACTATATTACTATGCTAAGTAATAACTACTCTCTCTTTTTATTACTTAACATGATTTTTGCCTTAAATTCTGGCTGATACTAAAATTGATAATATAGCTTTCTTTTGGTTCATGTTTATATTGTGTTATATTTTTTCAATTCTTTAACTATTCTATGTCAATTTTTGTCATAAATTTTATAGATATATAGTTCATATATCATGAAATTCACCCCTTTAAAGTGAATAATTCAGCCTAAGATCTTTGAAATGCAGTGAGATAGTGAGGTTAAGCTTAATAGCCTAAATCGTTTGATAATAACAATAAGCTTGTCTTTTGGATAGTTAACAACCTAAGTTTGCAGGCCAAAATTAGAGAAAAAGGAGGGCTACAAGGAAAGCCAACATTTTGGCCCTAGCCTTCTAAGGTCAATTAAGACTCAGGACATATGAGAACTTGTACTG